TTTACTGTTTTATACACTTTTTGCATTTCCAATTGAAGAGGGAAAAGGAAAAATGATGCTACCATTAAAGTTGTTTTCTGGCGTTGAATTTGTGTATATAGCTGAAGGAATGGTTAGAGTGTATTTTTTTAGGTGGAGAATGCATTGAAGAGGAACTTTAAGTCTTATGGGGCTTGGCATCACCGAAAATGGGTGTTGAGCAAAGGTCATTCGTCCACGGACCGGGAATTACGACTTCTCGGAAGGTTCCAGAAGCTGGATGCCCGTAATTTTCATGCCTGGAACTACAGGAGGTGAAGTGCTAAGACCTTTCATGTCAAACGAGTGAGTTTTGCGGTAGCATCTGTTGACATGGTCTTTTCGGGGGGTGGTTCTTGCAGGTTCATAACAGCACTGAAGAAGATTCCGGATGAAGAGGAACTTAAATACACGACTGATATGATATAAGATAATTTTAGTAACTATTCCGCCTGGCACAATCGAAGGTATGCCGAAAGTTGCAAGTACAGTGTCAATCGGCTTTCATATATTCAAATGGCCAGTGATCCAAAATCTAACTTCGTGTATTGGAAAATACTTTTAGTTTATTGAAGGTCTGTAGTTATCAGACGATTTGTTAGCACTAATCTAGTGGCTCACATTGAAATATAATGAACTTGTGACATTCTAGAGGAGTCATGAATTGGAGAATGTGAATGTTTTATTAATATTTTTTTTTAGCAAAATAACATCCTGTGTTCGGAGTCGACTTCGAACCTGTCATATTCTTGATACAAGACTACATTTTCTTGCGTAGTTTTTTTTCTCTAGATGATTTTAGCGAGCTAGAAGTTGAATTGTTAATATTCTTCCATTTTTATTTTGCAGCATTCTCCTGTCTAATTTACTAGAGAAAGGAGGAGAGGATTATCATGATAAGGGGAATGTGCTGGGAGAGGAGTATGAGTTTGTACGAAATGCCATGTTCACAGATCCTGATGATCAAAGTGGTCGGTTCTATCATCTATGGCTTCTGGATCAGACGTTAAGCGGGAAACCGCATTTCTTTCTTCGTGGCCTCCCCATGGCTCAAACATATCTGTATAATTTGATTGTTCGAAAGAAAAAATATCTCCGCTTGTTTTATATTTTAGCGATCCAGTGAAAGGTGTAAGCTCATCTACAGTAACTATTGAGCATCACACGGCAGACAATTTTTCCTGGTCACCACTGTCCGTGACTTATTATGGTTTTTCTCGAGCCTGGTTGACTTATCTTTAGTTTCCTGATGAAATGCACTTTTCAGAGGCTGTATCTGTAAAGGTTACAGTTACAAGTTCTCCTGGTATTACTTCCTCTGGTGGTTTGCCCTGTAATCAGCCTCGTCATGTATCTTTCTCTGTCCGTTTACCTTCTGATGAGCAAAAGCACTCTGAGATGAAAACAATAGATAGAATATCATGGAAAGAGGAACAATTTATTGCTACTGAATCTCAAGAGGTAAACTTGGCCCACTTGTTTTGTGAATTGGAAATCACTGAGCAGAACAAAGAAAAAACTCCTACGTGTAGTTTGGAGACTATATCCGGTGAAATAGATCACTGCCGGGAACTGTTGTCAACAACAAACTGGTAAGCTACGTTCGCGCGTTCGCGCAAAAGAATAATACGATAACTTTATATAAGCTTATTGTTTTATAAAGCCTTTTTCTTATTTCTTTTTTTTCCTTTTATTGTAGTAAAATTGGGAAACTTACTCTTGCTAGACTCTTGATGGCGCATAACACATTGATGTCATTCAGAAGCACTGACGATAGAATCCAGACCCGTTATGAAGATATTCTCGCCCTTTATCAAGATTTAATGAAGATGGATCCTGCACATATTTGTTACTACGAGGATGAGTACAGTTTGGTTTTTATTTAAGCAGGTAAATGACCTCTTGCTTGAAGGATAAGCAAGTGATAGAACCTCTTATAAATCTTTTAAGATTTTAAGGAAGATTAGTGGAGTCTATTATATGGTTTGTGAAATCTTATTAGTGAACATTCTTGACTTTGAGAATAACCTCTGGATGTCTTTACTTAATACTCTTTGCCCGAACTGCCCAGATGGCAATTCACTATGCTTACAAACAACGGTTCTTTTTCTTTTTTCATGTATCTTTGGTGCTTGAAATACTGTATATAGTCTCTTTATAGGGTTCCTTTGGTGTTGTTTCCTTTATCGGACACCACTTCGCCTCACATTTCTTCTTCTAAAAGAAACAACAACCTTTTGTACTAATTATAATTTTGGTTAATTATTTATTCTACAGCTGACATCGGATAAAGCCTCTTTACTGAAGCACTGCCATCAATACCACGAGCCTCTTTTATCAAGTGTAAATCCTTATTTGTGCGCTCGGCTGAATGGTCTCTCATTATCACGAATCGGCAGTATGGAGCACTTACTGTGTGTTCAAATGTTAGACCTAAGCCACAACAAGCTCCGTTCAATTGAAGGTAATGCTACACTGTTCTCTTAAAAAAATATATATATTTTGACGAAATAATTTTCTGATACTGTTTGCATGATCCAGATTAATCGAGTTTCTATAACTTTCCGAGCATAATCAAATTGGTTTCGTAATCTAGCGTTTAGCATAATTTCACCGTGTTATTATTTGTTGCAAGGAACTATTGATTGTTGAAAATACGAAGATTTACTGGAATTATTTCAAACGCCAAATGTCAAGATTTTATTCTGACTAGTGCATTTGCTTTCTGATTGCATTTTTACTTTCCCATATTTGTCTCGACTGAAATTTCCGAGCAGGTTTGGAGGCTCTGCAGCTGTTATCCTGCTTGAAGCTTAATCCAACAGAATCTGCAGTTTTACGGCTTTAGATCCCTTGAAAATGCTAAAGTATCTAAAAGTACTCGACATATCACACAACAGAATCTGCAGTTTTCCGAGCTTGCTTAATTCTTTAGTTGGCAAAAATTAAGTGTGAAACAAATGCAAAAAGGTATAAGCCAAGCAGCGGACTTTTGAGCCGAAAATTATTTGCCTTGGCACAAAATTTCAAATTTTACAGAGGAATGATGAATTTGTTGAATTTAGTACTCTCCTCCACCTTCAAGAAAGGGGAATAAAATTTGACAACCTATAAAATAAATAATTATTTTATGTTTTGAAATTTTATACTTTTATTTACGATATTTTTAGTGTATAATAATTAAGTTTGAAACTATGTATATTGGTCATTAAATTGTTGTTAACTGTCATATTTTTAGGGTGCCTGGCAACAACTTTAGTGGTCAACTGGTCATTATTTAGTTACGCCTAAATTTGATATATTAAGTGTTTGGTAGACAAATAAGCTAAGCTAGTTTATAGTTTATTTAGTTAGCTTATAAGCTCTCGTATTCAAATATTCAAATAAGTTAGTTGAATTTTTTTATTCCAACTAGCTTATCTGTTAATATTACCCAACACTTTTATCATATAAGCTAGTTTTTAAATTATAAGTCATAAGCTATAAGCTCAAAAATTACTGATAAACTATAAGCTAGCTTATTAACTATCAGCTAGTTTTATCAAACATAGCCTAAATAAAATTAATGTGTTAAATTAAATCTTTTACCCTCAAAAAAATTTTAGTACATTTCATGAAAGACTAGCATAGGAAACAACAAATATATTCTTGTGAGTCCATTTAACAGTTGGATGCATCATAATTTTTTTTTTTTAATAAAAACATATAATAATACTATATAATGCCATAGTTTCACTTATGTTATTTTTAAAATATGGCTTTTCAATTTAAAATATGTATACTTGTTAAAAAAAATATGATTGTCCAATCGTTAGTCTTTCCTTACAGTGAATACAATTCTACACACGAAATTAAAAATAAAAAATATCATAAATTTTATCATACATTTGTAAAGGTTTTTAAAAGGTTTTATGTTATTTTTATTTTATAAGCTCAAAGTCAAATTATTGTCGTTATTATTGAAATTTGAACTTCAATATTAACATTAGGGTTAATTGCATCTAAAGTCATAATCTTTTGCTCAATTGCAAATAAAACTCAACCTTTTCAATTTGGCAAAATAACATCAAACCTTTAATAAATACTGCAATTGTGTCTCAAAATTAATTTCCGGCCGCGAATCACTTTCCGCCGCCGCCGGACCGCCACCAACCGCCACACGCCGTCGGCCAACTTCGCCTGATGTTGAAAGTTTTTACATGATCTTGTAGCTCTCCTCCGTGCCGACAACATATTCGAGTTTCACGAAAAAATTCCGACAATAAGGCTTCCAATTTTCCGGTCAAAGCTCGTAGATCTACAAATTTTTTTCGGCGTTCTTTCGCAAATTCCCCATGACTCGCCCATGTGAATCCGAAGGTACCGTTGAAATCCTCTCGCAAAGCCGCATCTAGTGACGTCCACCTTCGCCGGAACCGGTGACTTTTTTCGGCGACGACTTTTCCGGTCATCTTCTTTGCAAATTTTCGGCCGACCCCCACGACGTTCTCTCTCCGGCGAGCTTCCCCCAGCCGCGAGCTCGACTTCCATCGACCTCCTTCACTAGGCTTCCCCTCTGTGCACAGCCGCCCCGAGCTCGTTTTTTGGCGTGTCTCGGCCGGAAAAATTTGAGACTCAATTGCAATACTTATTAAAGGTTGGATATTTTTTTGTCAAATTGAAAAGGTTGAGTTTTATTTGCAATTAAACAAAAGATTAGGATTCTAAATACAATTAACTCTTTTTTTTTTTGGTACAGGGACCTTCCGGTTTCTGGATCCACAGGGGAACCGACTAATCTGGAATCGAGCCAGATAGGACCACAAGGGCGGCAAAGTTCTCCCTCAAGAGTTTTAACACTGCTGCATTCCTAGGGCTCGAACACGAGACCACTGATTAAGCTGGAAGAGACCAAAACTCTTTAACATTATGCAAATAACTTGAAGAAATCTACAATTGCCAAACAGGGTGGGCCAAAAATTTCATTCATGTCACACGCCGCATTTTCACATCATAAATGCACTAAAAAATCACATGAAAATTTATTTACATCTGCCAAATTTGGCATCAAACTAAAATATAGTAATTACACAAAGGTTGTCGTGCACAAAATTAATGCACAATGTCAAATGCAAAACACAACAATTTTAATATTACTACTAATTTACTACAACACTCAACAATTATTCAAATAACACCACGAAAATTAAAACTACACAAACCCAACAAACCAAAACACCTCACAAAACATATTGTCCCACCATCAAGGATGAACTGAATTTAAAAAAAAAAATAAAAAAAAAAATACATAGACAAATAGATACAAGTTGAAAAAACAAAATTATGATTAAAAATTTGGTAAACTATAAATTTCACCATATCTGTGAAGAAGACGACGACGATGAAGACGAAGAGGAGCTTAAAAGCTGCTCCAAATACTCGGCCCCCAAATCTTCAAACACCACCACATTTTTACCATTATAATTACCA